GAGAGAGAGAGAGAGAGAGAGAGAGAGAGAGAAAGAGAGAGAAAGAGAGTGAGAGAGAGATAGAGAGCGAGAGCGAGAGAGAGAGAGAGAGAAAGGGAGAGAGAGAGCAAGAGCGAGAGAAAGAGAGAGAGATCGATATATAGATTACTCACTGATTTGGAAGTTTCAACGTCTTCAGTCTGCCCGGTGGCTTGTCAAATCTGATGTGGTAGCCCAGTGCAAAGAAGGTTCTGTAATTAAAAATAACATGGCTTCGTAATTTGCAGACAAGACGTATTGCTAATCTACTGTTTGTCTCAGACACAGCTACAAATTAATGACTATATAATCTTACGATAGTTTTCTCGCAAATCTTTGTTCCACCGTGATTCTGGCAGTAAGATTTAATTTCCATGACAAAAATCTACATGCAAATTTCCTATCGCAATGCATGATACGAAACCAGTTTACCTTTGACCTATCCCAACCCAAGCTCTTATCAGTTAAATCTTACTTCAATGTCTCTTGCGCTAGAGCAATGTTGTAGTTCTTCTCTGTTTCCGGTAGTTTCTCGAAGGTTGTAAGACACACGTTCTTTTTCCTTTGTTCATCGTTGACCTGTTTCCAATGAGCACAGATTATATAGTAACTAACTTCTACTTTTGTCCATCAAGGACAATGGATGAAGTCCCCAGCATCATGTAAACCTCTGTAACACTCTTCAACATCAGTGGAGAGAGAACTACTACTAAACTATTTTTTGTAGTCTCCTGATTAGTTTTCACTGACAAGGGGAAATCAGCGTGTGATTGGCCACATCTGCCTACCTCTCCCCATGTATAGCCGGCTTCTATCTTACTGACAGACCACAGCTCATGGATGTTCTCGGCCAACTTCTCTCTGATCCCATCTATCGTAGTGTCAATGTAGTTGGGAAGCACAACCTATCAGCACAAGAAGAATATATAAATGTAGAATGTAGCTAGTCAAGCCATTAGAGATGAATAATTTAGGCAGAAGTTGAAGGAGTTCAGGTTTTCTGATTCTATACCGTAATGTACATTTTTTAATGAAATCGATTAGGTCGACGAAGATACTCCTTGGACAACCACCAAACTGCCCAACATCGCCTCGATGGGCACTTGCAACCAGGGTGAACGACCAGAGCGATCGTCGCACGCACGCACGCACGCACACACACATACACCCACATGCACGCACACGCGCACACGCACACTCACACTCACAGCTACACGCACGCACGCATACACGCACGCACGCACGCACGCACGCACGCATGCACACGCACTCACAGCTACACGCACCGCACGCACTCACGCACGCACGCACGCACGCACGCATGCACGCACGCACGCACACACACACACCACACACACACACACACACACACACACACACACACACACACACACACACACATAAGCGCACACCCACACCCGCACGCGCACGCACACGCACACGCACACGCACATGCACACGCACACGCACACGCACACGCACCTTCGACGTGTCGACGGTCGTCGGTATGAAGGCGATGTGCGCCGGCAGCTGGATCGGGCCGCCGATCATGTTGCGCGGGATGTCGCCGAAGTTCATGCACGGCTCGATGCGCAGCTGCTCGCGCGGCAACATCGACTCGATGATCGGCGAGAAGTCGTCGTGCGGCCCGTAACGGAACTTGCCGTGCTCGTTGCCGAACATGAAGCGTGCGCTGAAAGGTCAATGTGAGGTCAAGGTGATGTCAACACGAGGTCAATGCGATTTCAATGAGCGGTCGACTCGAGGTCAACGTCAAGCCGCGGGTCACACAGGCGCTGACGGCTGTAAGGTGCGAGCGCTGAGCATAGTTACCAAGGTTTTCGTCTGATTACTGGCTGATTAAGGTTGTGGGGGCTCAAGATCTTTCAAGAATTTTGAGGATAGCAGACAGTACTAGAAAAATTTACATACGGCACAGAATGAAGCCACCCGCTACTAAAGTAGTTACTGGTAGGCGATCCAGGGGCATTCTTCCCCTCAAAAAACTTTGTATTAGAACATACTATTTGGATAATTGTACCACTGTATTACATATAGCTATATGTGTATATATGTGTTGTAAATGCGTGCGTGCATGTGTGTATGTGTATCAAGAAAAATTTACACACACCTTACTTTAGCAGACAAACTAATGCACGGGAAGAAAAGGCCAGTGGTGTTAAAGTTTCGGAATACACCATTGACTTTCACTCCATTTAAGCTGAATGCGATTTCTGGTACGGTGAAGTCCAGGAAACATCCAATGACGTCGCCCTTCGAAAACCCTTGTGAGCTGGGATAATATTGAACGGAATTAGACTTCCCACCTGAAAAAGAACACACGTCTTGTATGAATACACGACATTGCATAAATTGACTTGCTTCTGATTATAAACAACTTTCTTTTGAAATATCACAATGTCATCACTACAGCTAAAGCAATCAGTGGTGGTAGGTGCTTATACTAGATACCTACATACACACATAAAGACATAATTTAATGCAAGTGGAGGCTGCTCCCACAAGTTTGAGGCTGTTTAGAACCTCCTTTATAATCCATGCCTGAGAGCTGTTATCAACACAGTATATCGAAGAAGATACGATTGTGTGGCACAATATAACTGGACACGTGGCTGCGTGCTTTGACTAATCGACAGCGAGCGCCGCACTCACCGGCCCATACCCGGCCCCCGTCGAAGCCATACGAATACAGGTCGTCGCCAACACCATTTCCTCCCCAGTTCTCGCCCCCGCCCGGGTACGGCTTGTAACCCTCCGTGTTGGCCCATCCAATGCGTAGGTGCGGCATCAGGTGCGTCGAGCTCTCGATATAGTCGATCACCGCCTCAAAGTACCACTTCTTGTACATCGCCGAGCCCTCCATGACGCAGACGAAGATGTTTGGCCTCATGCTGCATGAGCGAATGAATTAGCGCTAGTCATTAAGATCATTAAATTACAGGCATTACTTCCTCTCCTCGTTTTTGAGTTTGTCTTGTTTTTTGTCTGACAGTGTGATAACCTTTTTTTTTATTCAATTTTATTCCATTTCACTTCATGCGATTCTATATTATCAAGATGTACAACTGATAATTGCTGTTACAGTTTTGATGTTGTTGCTCCTACCGTTTCCTACTTTTGATACCATTCTATTCTATACTGTGCTGTCTGTCCTGCTCTGCCCTGCCTTGCCTTACCTAAATATCCTAGCATACCCCACTCTACCCTAGCCTACAACATTCCACCCCACCCCATCCCACTTTACCCAACTTCATCCTTCCCTACCTCAACCTACCCTACCCCAACCTACCCTACATCAACCTACCCTACCCCAATCTACCCTACCCCAACCTACCCTACATCAACCTACCCTACCTCAACCTACCCTAACCCAACCTTCCCTACACAAACCTACCCTACCTCAACCTACCCTACCTCAACCTACCCTACCCCAACCTACCCTACCTCAACCTACCCTACCCCAACTTACCCTATCCCAACCTCCCCTACCTCAACCTACCCTACCCCAACCTACCCTACCCCAACCTACCCTACCTCAACCTACCCTACCCCAACCTACCCTACCCCAACCTACCCTACCTCAACCTACCTCAACCAACCCTACCCCAACCTACCCCAATCTACCCTACCTCAACCTACCCTACCCCAACCATAACCACTTCCTGGCATACCTTACCTTTACGTTACTCTACTCACCTAGAGACATGGTCAACGAGAGAGGTCTGAAGCAGCAGGTCTTTGCTCGGAAGCAGATTGTCGCAGATGTGGTTCTGTGAGCTCCTCACTGCCATGCCGTTACCAACGCAGAGTGAGCACAGCACATTTAGCACCTGTGTAGCACAAATATCTTACATTAAAGCAGAGCGAGCACAGCATTAAAGCATTAAAGCACAGCACATTTCTGCATGAATGTTTGTTTGTCTACCTTTCTTCTTTCTACCACACTTTTTCTCTTTTTGCATTTCTGCCACTCTGGTTTTCTTCCCTAAGCACCACTTTCTTTTCCTGCCTCTCTCTCTCGCTCGCTCTCATCGTTAATCTGAACGTGATCACCACCTTCTATATATATTGCCCAACGATTCACCAGCTCGATTAAAGCTTCCATGCTTTTAATTGTGGTAATCTAAGCGTTATCACACACTTCTATATATATTGCCACCTATCGATTTACCAGTGATAAAGTTTCCATGCTTTTAATTGTGGTAATCTAAGCATTATCACACACTCTATATATATTGCCCACCTATCCATTTACCAGTGATAAAGCTTCCATGCTTTTAATTGTGGTAATCTAAGCGTTATCACACACTTCTATATATATTGCCCACCTATCGAATTTTATCTCTCTCG